GGATTTTTTGATTTTTGTGTGTCTGTATGTGGAAGATGATATTGGCCTACCTTACATTTTTATCTGCTTTTATACTTATAAGGGAGCTGAAAAAACAAAATTATAATTTTACTTGCTAACAATGAAATGGAATAGAAGAAGAGAATCTTTCTTTTTGATTACTTATAATAATTTGTCATCAGAAAATATTTGTTTAATTGCACTGGTTGGGATGTCACAGAAAAGTATTGTCAAGGCAAATTTGAACTTTTCCTTCTGTTTTTCCAATTTCCACTTTGCAATTTTTCTCGACTAAATTTCAGTATGTTGGGAGTTCTTTTAATTTGCTCAATTGAGTTACTGTAATAAACTCAAACCTTGGGACTACAAATTAAATGAAATGAAACCTTGGTATCAATTGTCACAATTCCCACAAAGTTCACTAAATACTGATGTACTAATATTTAGATAGTCATATTAATATTTAGTACAATTACACATTAAAATATTAACATGAGATGTTACAGCATGTGTATATATTTTAATTCAAAAAAATGTGAGGTCAACCTACGTTGGGTGTTTAACAAAACAATTCGTAACTTAATAACAGCGTTTGAATCAAGTTGAGCAATGTCATTATTGAGCTAAAATTGATATTTTTAGAGCATCTCTAATAATGGGTTTTGAGTGAGGTTTATAAATACAAACCTTGAGGTTTTCTATTATAAGGTATAGGTTTAAGGTTTGTGGACATAAAGTAGGTTTGTCTGTACAAACCTCCATTAAACCTCCAAAATTGTATTTTTATTGGCCCACCACCTGCCACGACATGTGCTTGCTTCATTTCCTTTGATTCTTCTTTCTATTTTTTCTTTTGCTTCTTATTTTTTGTAGTAGCAATTTAAATATTAAATCATTCCAACAATAGAAAGACAAATAATTTTTTTTTAAATTTCATTCTTCTTTTTGAAAAAAATCATAAATAATTAATATTTAATGTTTCATATTATTAGAAAATATGTTTTACTTTAATTATAAAAATTGACACAATTCATAAATAGTGCAATATAGTTACATATAATTATATATTATTTTGGTATGTATTTATAATAAATATGTGAAACCTTTAGATTATATAAAAATAAAATTGATGTTATAATTTTAAAATATTAATTAAATATAAGAGTATAATATTAATTATAAATATGAGACCCATAAAAAAAGGTTTATAAGGTTTGTTATTATTGGAGGTTTATATGTGTAGGAGTAAAAATGAGGTTTTGGATGATGTGGTATATTGGGAATAGATAAAGGAGGTTTGTGGAGGAGGGTTATTAGAGATGCTCTTATTGTTGCTCGAGGACTTTTAGGCTCAAGTCGACAGAAAAATTAAAATATCGATATCAACTAAATAAATTTCTATAAAAAATATTTATTTATGGATATCTAAATAATTTAACATATAATCAAGCACTCAAGATCATAAACTATATTTTAGACTAGAGGTTGACTCAAGTTCAAATTCAAAATATAGTCCAACTCAGCCAAGCTCAAGTCGAACATTAATACGAGAGCTTATGAACGGCTCATAAATCGGTGGATTCGTCTGCAGATATTATTAATCTATATATATATAAAAAGGTTGTTGTAAAAATACCTTTTTAGAAACTTTTGACCAAAAAAAAAAAAAACTTTGACAATCTAAATATAGAAACCATATTTATTGCATTTATAATACACGAAATTTTATTCACGTCATTCACAGTTTAGAAAAAAAAAAGTTCACGTCATTCACAGTTCACAGAAAAAAAAAAAAAAAAAAAAACCGAGATAAATTTTACAGAGAAAAAAAAAGAAGATAAATTTCAGAACACATTGATAATAAATGCCGCCAGTCTGGGATACACTCGATTCCGTGAGTAGGAGAAACAAACCTTTTTTTCACTTGAAAGCAATCCTAATAGTTGAAACGCATCACCAACGGGAGAGTTGGAACGCATTCCATATACTGTTTCATGATGAACAGGTAAATATTTATATTTGTAATATCAAATTTATGTAATATTAAAAAATATTTTTATTCATATTTATAAATTTATACTGTAGGGTACATTCATTAAAGGGATAATACGTTCCAAACATATGGGAGCATTTCGAGGTGTACTGAACGAAGGCGAGGTGTATGCGATCAGCAACTATGTCGTTGAATTTAATAATGGGAAGAATGATATCATAACCAACATATGAAAACTTGTGCTTCATGGAAGAACTCATGTTATCAAATATGGTGGGATTTTCCCTCAAAATGTTGATATTTTCCCTCAACATTAGCAAGGAGCAGGAGATATTTATGATATATAGAGTTTGATTATTATGAATTTTAATCTCATTCCATGTCGTTGAATTCCGAATTCTATAATAAATTTTAGTGTTATTATATTTGTTATCGTTATAAAATGTCGTTGGATATTTTTTTTTATTAAATGTCGCATGAATGTGAAAATTTGAACATTTTATTTTTTAGTTCTACTGTATATTAGTTTAAAATTGGTAGAATGTCATGATACAAGATATAAATTAATACAAATTTTAACAAATATTTCAAATATAAGATTATATAAAAAAAATTTACGGAATTAACAATAACTGAATTAAGTACATTTAATAGATTATATTGCGTGATTTTTCAATAATTTATCATAATGAATTATATTCATAAATATGAATATGAATTTTGATTATAATATTTATATTAATTTGTGTTATCTATAAATTATTATTATTAAAATTTTTACGTAAAAAGATGGAAAGATTTGTTTGACGTAAAATTTTGACTTAAAATATTATAATATTTGTTTGACGTAAAAAATTTTTCAACAATTTTTTTTTTGTATCACATTGGTATGGACAAAAATTTAATTGGAAGATGTTAATTATGTAACGATGCTATCACACAAAAATTTTCACTTCTTAACTACTTTGCACTTATCTTATCACCATACATGATAAGGTTGAAAATTACAATTTGACTTCAAAATTGTTTTAGGTTTTTATTGACCGAGTATCACTCTTTGAATTCCATTTGAATTCAAAATTGGTGTATTTTTTATTTGAACAAAAAAATTATGAAATTAACAATAACTAAATCAAGTACATTTAATGGATTATATTGCGTGATTTTTCAATAATTTATCATAATGAATTATATTCATAAATATGTATTTGATTATAATATTTATTTTAATTTGTGTTATATAAATTATTATTATTAAAATCTTGACGTAAAAAGATGGAAAGATTTGTTTGAATTAAAATTTTGACGTACAAAATTTTTGACGTAATTATATTATTTGTTTGATGTAAAAAAAAAATTTCAAGAATTTTTTTTTTATTACGTTGGTATGGACCGAAATTTAATGGAAAGATTGATGGTGATGGTAATTATGTAATGATGCTATCACACAAAAATCTCCAATTCTTAACTACTTTCCACTTATCTTATCATTATAAAAGTTTCGGTCCATACCAACGTGATAATCATTTGTGTTTGGATTGACTGAAATATATTCCATTTGAATTCAATGTCATTCATTTAAAAAACATAACAAATGCAGAGTACTACGGTGGATAAATCTAGAGTTAACAATATGATAAATCACGTTTTACTAATCTTATCATGATATTAGAGTTTGAATTTATTGGAACTCTGAAATTAAAATCACGTGCAATGAATCTTATCAAGAGAGATTAATGTGAGTCTAACTAATCTTATCATCTAATGGTTATCTACTTTCATCCCATGGCTATAAAATAAACGTCGAAGCCTATATCACGTATCACAAAAATCTCACACTACAATTTCACATACAAACAGAAAAATGGCGAGAGCATGGGGAAAAGTCAAGCAAGTAACAAGGATCAACAGGCCAATGCTCAAGTTGAGGGTGGTTCGAGTTTTCCAAAGGACTAATCAATACTCATCCTACAAGAACATCATTGAAATTGTCTTTCATGACATTGAGGTTTAATTCATAATAAAAAATAATGATTATCCATTTTTCTCATCATGTTAATTATAATATCTAATATCTAATATTATTTTTTCTTTTTTTTTTTACTGGGAGGTCGAATTACTGGAATAGTAAAACAATCAACATCCCAACTTTCATCAATAAATTCGAAGAAGGTGCTGTCTATGCATTTCGAAACTATCAAGTCGAGAGTAATATCGGAATGTATAGATCCACCATTGATAATTCGTGCTTCTCTAATAATATGGGATGAAGCACCAATAATGCACAAGCATTGTTTCGAAGCTGTACAGACATCGCTGCAGGGTAATATGGGAACAACTGATCCTTTGAACTTGAACAAACCGTTTGGTGGGAAGCCGATTGTTTTTGGAGGAGATTTTCGAAAAATCCTTCCAGTCATTCTAAAGGGTAGCCGTCAGGACATGTCAATGCTGCCATTAATTCTTTTGACATATGGAGGAGTTGTATTGTGCTTAGGCTTACGAAAAAATGCGC